TTGTGCCCTCGAGGCTAGCTAGGCTAAGTGTGCCTTCTTTAAACACGTTTTTCTTGAAACTGTGTTTTTGGTCGTCATGAAATTTTGCACAGGTCCTTGAGATACAATTCTTAAAGACTAGGACGAAGGTTTTTTTTCGACTACAACCATCTGAAAAAAATTGTCGCGAAATTTTCACTGAAATTTTAATTTCTTTGTAAAAATGTCTGGCAAAAATCCAATTTTCAGTTTTTTTTCCTTTCGTTCAAGTTCTAAGTTAAGGTTTTAACTAAAACGGGTATTTTTTCACTTTAGATGATCCTGTAAGGAGTTATCCTGCCAACGCGGGCGCATCTTTTTTCGAGGGGTCATCGGAAATGGTGTCACAATGGCCGAGTTTAAAATATTTTTTCCGAAAAATTCGGAATTTCTTTGTTAATAGTGTATGTATGTTTGTAGCAACAAAAAATTCTAATAAAATACGTAATTTTTTATATGAGAAAATAATTTTTGAATAAAGGTAGTTTTTTACCCGAGGAAACCCATTCAGTTCCAATACATATGTATGTACATATGTTTTCTTAGATTACATGGGATTGATGTCAATCGTGAGACATTTAAGAAATTTTCTACGAAAACATGCGCAATTTGTTATTAACAATACGAGAAAAGTTTTGAAGTTTTCACTTACAAATCAGTAGAGTATATAATATGTATGTATATTAAGGTGATTCAAAAAAAAAAAAAATTTTTTTTTTCGTTTGGTACTCTGAAAAATGGGTTCCTAGGCACCTCTAAGGAAGCCTCTCCAAGAATGAATTCTTAATTGTAACGGGAAGGTCTTACAACTTACAATTTTCTATTTTTTCATATTATCATATAGAAAACTTTATATCTCGCTTCCAATTACTTGAAAAAATATCTTGTTCCTTAGATTTTGTAGGAAATTGAATGCTCTACAAAAAAGGTTTGCACGATTTTTTCGTAAACCCAACCGTTTAAAAGATACTAACAGTTAAAGTTTGATTATATTATTTTTAGATTAACACTCATTTGTACATACTTACATATTTATATGTAGAATATATTCTAGATATTTATGGATGGATGTTGATAAATATATGTATAATTAATAAAAAAAAAAGCAAGTTGCTAAGTAAATTTTTGAAATTCTTCTCATGAGAAAAAAAATTGAGAAACTAATACAAAAAGCTACAATATAAAGCAAAGTAGTCCATATGCATACATACATATGTATTACATTTTCTAGTGCTTGTACTTGTACTTTAAGCATATAATTGTACGCATGCATGTACATACATACATACCTATGTATACATATATTTTAGAGAATTTACCCATACGCATACAGAAAAAATATACATACATACATACATATGTACATATATGTATACATACATGTGTAGCTGTGTATATTTGTAATCACTTATGGATGAAGGTGTTAAATTTCGTGCTGAACTTTTAAAGCGTTTTCAGCTCTACTAAATTCTTAAAGAGTTAAAAAAGTATTGACTGTTGACAGCCACTACAGCAACAATATTATTATTAAGAACTTTTCTAGACATTTCGTGTGTGCAAATAAAATTTTTGTAGAATGGAAGGAATTTTCCAGAGCTATTTCTTTCTATGTTCACATACCTAAGTTTGTAGATACATAAACATTTTACGTGCATACATACATATGTATGTATATAAAAATATAAATTTTTTCGAAAATTGGATTCAGCGGTCACGTTCAAATGTCTTATTTAATTAGCCTATGTACATATGTATGTATGTAAATGTGAAACCTCAAATTAATTTAGCTAAAAAAATCGATAACTATCCCAGAAATCAAACAGTGGTAAATGAACTTACTTTCATACATACAAATGCTCATACTTATGGATATACATATGTTATGTGGATGAAGTATGTACCTACAATCAATCTACATACATACATACATATGTACATACAATTCATGCAATATAAAAGCTCGTCTAGTGACGTTGTCGGCTTGCGCTTGCCGCTGTTGTTTGTAAACAAAATTTTTGCAAATAATGTAGCATTTGTTTATCATTTCGTATAAACAATTTTGTTTAAGTATATGTATGTACATTTGTATGTATATTAATGTCTAGAACATTTTACCACAAACAGCAGCTATTTTTAGGCACCTCAAAAAAATAGTAGACGGCCATAAAAAATGATTTCTCGCATGTTGCGCGTGCAAGTGTTTCACTACACATACCATATGTGTA